TGCCTAGACCACCTGGTAAAGCAATAAAGGCATCAACATGGTTAAACATTGCATTCATTCGAGCTGACATTGTGGAGACCTGAAGTTCCTCTCCAATTGTTTTTCCAATGATGTCCCCTTGTGCCAAAGCTTCAGGGATGACCCCCAAAACTTGACTACCTCCTAAAAATGCAGCTATTGACACACCTCCCATTAACCCAAGATTGCCTCCCCCATACACTAAATGAATCTTTCTCTCAGCTAGCACCTAACCAAGATGATTTGCTGATTCTAAAAACTCCTTTTCTTTCCTAGGATTAGATCCACCGAAAACACAAATATTTTTTATTTGATGACTTGAGGAACTTGCCATTTCTACACACTTCTCTATTTGTTGAATGTATGGGTTGAGTAGAAATGAAAGGAAGGAAAAGAGGGTTTTATAGATGAGAAATTAGAAAGGCAATCATAACACCTATATGTAGGCTAGTTGGAGTCTCACACACTCTCTCTCTCTTTTTATTTATTTATTTACTTTTGAAAAAAGCATGTGTATGTATAGGTAGTTGTGATTGTGGCTCACATCTTCCCTTGCTTTTACGTCCAAGAACGGCTTAAACGCCCTCTATGGGTCGGGGATAAGCTTCCCATCCAGTTTTCTTAAAAACTGGCAAACAAGGTCTTTTTTAGTCAGATTCCTAAGACTAAGTCGATCATGTTCTTTATGAAATAGTGGCCATAAATCATGAATTGCACGATGCACATCTTCACTAGGATGCGTCTCAAGAGTCAATAGAAGATTATCTAAAGACTCCTTACTCAAGCCATCCTTAATGAATTGTATTTTATCTTCACGGTTTATAGATGCCATTCCTAAAGAACGACATTGTGTATTACAAGTCCATCTAGCACATCGATGACAGATTCCTAGTCGTTTTGCACGACGCTTCTTTGCAAAAGTGCTTTTACCTGTTCCAGGCATGTGTGAAATGAAGAAGTTAGAGGACTCACCTGATAATCGGACCTTTACTTCAATCGACCAGCGAATATCTTCAGGAATTCCATGATTCATTAACAATCTCAATCTTGCACATCTAGCACGGTAAATTTTTGTAATCGCATTCTGAGGTAGAGCAGGAAAATACTTTTTCAATTTTTCAAGATTAGTGTCCATTTTCAAATGAGAATTGGAAGAGAGATTCAAAGAATTGCACAAATATATACACAAATATCAGTTATTGTGGGGAACTGAAAGAACCGACTTAAGTCACGAAGTACCGTTGTCCGCCATTTGATCGGGGTGAGAGAAACTAGCAAAAATCACTCAAAAAGAAACACAAAAAAGAAAATGTGAGAAAAACAAAATAATCAACCTTTATCTACAAGATCATTCAAACTAGCTGATTCATTTTCACTAGGAAAATTATCAAAGTAAGCTTTCAAACGATGTCTATTTTCCTTAAAATCATTGTCATTCATTGAATTCTCAATATCACAAGCCCCATAAGGATTGGTCCATCTTAATCTTAGCTCTTTAGGGAATGCATAGAGTCGAGAATCATAAAACAAAACTTTTTGACCAGTGCCAATTTTTTGACAATTTTCACAAGTTTTGCAGAATGCATGCGTGTCCTTGAACATGGTGGGCCAATAAAATCCATTTTGACAGATTTTTGCAGCAGTCTTTTTTGACGAGAAATAACTTCCACATGCTTCAAAATGACAAAGTTTAATGACACTACTTACCTCATTGTCAGGAATGAATCTTTGAAATATTTGATCAGGACAATATTTGAATAAGTTAGGGTCATCACAATAAAAGCTCTTCACTTCGTTCAAAAACTTTTCTTTGTCTTGAGTACTCCAATCAGTTGGCAAATCTCTTAAAGCAAGAAAATTGATATTTTTATCATACCAAGGCATTGGACTAAGAGAAAGTAAGGATTCGTTAGGAAAGTAATCATCGATTGGTGTGATGCCAGATGTCGAATCTGTTGTCACTGTTGACAAAAGATTCGCATCAACATTTTCTGTGCGTTTATTATCCGTGATTTCTTCCTCAGAATAAATCATTTGCAAATCTTCAGATTCATCCAACTCATTTTTACTTAAGGTAGATTCAAGTTGATCATAAACTAATTCGTCAATATGATCTACTTCTTGTAAATCATTATCATCTCCAGGTTGCTTGCAAATATTGAAAATATTCATCTTCAATGTCATGTTTCCAAATGATAGCTTCATCAGTCCATTCCTACAATTAATCAATGCGTTAGAGGTTGCAAGAAACGGACGTCCTAAAATAACAGGAAATGAATTACATGCTTCAACAGGTTGTGTGTCCAAGACAATAAAATCCATAGGATAAATGAATTTATCGACTTGTACTAACACATCTTCAATTATTCCTCTAGGCACTTTTATAGATCTATCGGCAAGTAAAAGAGTTATAGAAGTTGGTTTTAACTCACCTAGATTGAGACTCTGAAAAACTGAATATGGAAGTAAATTCACACTAGCACCAAGATCAAGTAAGGCTCTTTCAATTTTATGTCTCCAATAAAGCAGGAAATTGTAGGACAACCAGGGTCTTTATATTTCAAAGCATTATTGTTTTGAAGAATGACACTTACTTGTTCTGCTAAAAAGGCTTTCTTTTTCACATTCAGTTTCCTCTTCACAGTGCAGAGATCTTTCAAAAATTTAGCATAGGAAGGAACCTGTTTAATAGCATCCAGGAAAGGTATATTGATCCTTACCTGTTTGAAAGTTTCAAAGATTTCAGAGTTGTGATTCACTTTTCTTTGTTTGGTCATGGCTTGAGGAAATGAAAGTGCTGGCAGAGAATCAGTCTTTTCTTTGCAATTTTCAAATTCAACCCCTTCCTTACCCTTAGAGATTGACTCATCATCTTTCTCATAAGGTTCAAGAGAGGGTTTTTCAATAACCTTACCACTGCGCAGAGTAGTGACTGATTTGACTTGATCCATGTGTTGGCTTTCGGAACTACTTGCATTTGCATTGTATTGCCCTTTGGGATTTTGTTGTGGTTGAGATGGAAACTTACCTTTCTCTTGGAAACTGAGAGCAGATGTTAATTTTGCAAGAGTATGTTTAAAATCTGTCATGTTTTAAGCAAGTTGAGTATTGATTGTCTCTTGCTTTTCAATGAATGCATGCAATGTTTCCTCAAGATTTCTTCTAGGAGGTGGAGCATAAGGAGGTGCATATCCATGAGAATTTTGGAAATTATGGTGTGCTTGAAACGGTGGTTGTGAAGTTTGTGCATTGTTGTTCTTACTCTTCCAATTGAAATTTGGGTGATTTCTCCAACCAGGGTTGTATGTTTGGGAGTATGGGTTGTGGTTGGCCCTTTGGAAACCGTTTAAAGCATGGGCTTGTTCATGGAGACATTCCTTAAAAGAAGGCAAGGTTGGACAATAGTTGGTTGAGTGTTCATTTGTTTCACAAATTTGACACACAATGTTTTCAACAAATTTTAATTGACCACTCTTTTTCAATTCTAGTGCCTCGACTTTTCTAGCTAAAGATGCAAACTTGGCTTGAAGGTCATGATCTTCCCTAAGGTTGTACATACCTCCACTAGATGTATAAGGTTGAGTTTTACTTGTTGCCTCATAAGTACCCATGGTGTCCCAATTTTGAGCATTTTCAGCTAAAAAGTCTAAGCACTCCATTGCTTCATCAGGGTATTTATCTTCAAAAGTTCCATTGCACATCAATTCAACCATTTGCCTATCTCTAGGTGTTAACCCTTCATAGAAATGTGAAACCAATCTCCATGTTTCAAAACCATGACGAGGGCAAGTACTAAGCAAGTCTCGATACCTATCCCAACATTGGTAAAATGTTTCTCCTAGTTTTTGAGTGAAAGTAGTGATTTGTCTTTTGAAAGAGTTTGTTCTGTGAGATGGGAAAAACTTCTTCAAAAATTGTTGTTGCATTTCATCCCAAGCACGAATGGATCCTGGTCTTAAATTTTGTAGCCATGTTTTAGCTTTATCTTTTAATGAAAAAGGGAAAAGCTTTAATCTGATGGTGTTCATGCTACAATTGAAATTATTATATGTGTTGCAGACCTCTTCAAATTCCCTTAAATGCAAGTATGGATTTTCCAATTCTAAAACTTGACACGACTAAAAGATTGATGTCTTCTCCCAAGTGCAGGAGTGT